TGTTCATATTTTTTATTTTATTTAGCTTATTCACTTTTTTTAAGAAAACAGTCATATTTAATATAATATAATAAACATAGACTTGTGTAACTTACTTATTGTGGATATATATGTATTGTGTGTACGTGTATGTATTAATAATGATAATAATATAACTTTAAAAACAAGCAGTCTTAAAGAAAAAAGTTGATGGCTAACTTGTAAAAATTGTGTAACTTGTATGCATTTATTTACTAAACATTCAGTAAGTGTTTAAAATAAAAAAATATTTGTAATTGTTGGGTTCTGCAATTAATGTGGATAACCTTTGTGTATATATTTTATTGTGTATATTATTGATGATAAACAATATGCATTTCAATGTTAATTAACATAATATTATATAATATTAACAATAATGCTAAATAATATCAGTATAATATATAAATTAAAAGAAACATAATTTCTGATGTTGGCATTTCTGATGTTTATTTCTGATGGGGCTTTTTGTATGAGGTAGTGGACAGCCATGTAAAATAAAAATATTGAGGTTTAAAAGTATAGTAAATAGAGCTACAAAGAGCCAAATACATTGTAGCTAAAAGCTCTGTTATCATCACCCATGTCAACAGTACTAAAGAGCTTTTCAGCCAGTAATAATGCATCAGCGTAATGCCAAAATAAAGGTCAGAAATAGAGGGATTCAGTGAAAGTGCGAAGTTCTCCATTACTTGTAAAAGCGCTACATAACATCAACACTTCTTTAGTCCAATTGCCAAAGATAGCTCTGCAGGCGGCGAGGTGCCAAAATAAGTCTGTCTGATTTTATCAAAGACGCCATTTCTTTTCATTGTGTAGTAAACGACACATCTACAGTCTCCCTGGTTCAAAGCCCCTCTTTTTTTTCCCGACGTAAAGGATGCGCTCCATTTGAATGGTTTAGGGAAGGCAACGCACGGAAGCGGCTTTCTCTCTGATCAAAAGAGTTTTCCACTTTGATTGCGGTGCAAAGAAAATGAATTATCATTTGAAGTTGACTAATGTTTCCTTGTGATTACAAACCAACTTGCATGCAGCAAGTCACTCAGAAAAGCTGAATGGCTGTGAGTTTGATATGAAAAGGCCTCTCACTGACACACTGTAGATGTCTGCTACGGACTCTTGGCATATTTATCATTCCATCTACACAATTCAGGGGAAAAATGTCACCAGCCATATGCTTTGTGACATGTAGCGGACTGCTTTTAAAACATTTTGGCAGCGCTTTGCATTCGCTGACTTCACTATGTGAATGTGATTTAGCTCACAGAGAGCCGCAGATAGTAGCAAATGTCTTTGTCACCCCTGTGGCCTGCTAGCTCAATTTAGAGACTCTATCAGGAAAACATGCTTCAAAGGCTCCACATGCACAGGGTCCAATCTTTGTTTGGAAAGGTCTCCCTTTGTACCCCGGGACTGTGGTCCTTTCTCGCCCGAATCCGAATGAGTTCATGTTCAACCTCTCCTTAATGCTTTTTCTTTTTAAATCTTCTCGCCGGCAGAAAATCTGTCGTTCAGTGCCTCAGTTAAATGCCGTGTGATTTATGTTTCTTAGCCACATTGTTTCGCCTAGGTGTCCTTGGGTGAGCTGTGATTTGTTTAAAAAGAAATTTCCGTTTTCATTTCATCAGTGTGGCTTTCTCTCGTAGCCCTGAGACGAAACTCCAGGGAATGACCTGTGCGGAAACTCGAATCTAGATTTAAAAAATCCAATAAAAGTGAGCCGGCGAACAGATTTGCGAGCTCTGTTCCTGAAGATTTCCCTGATTACTTTTTGAAGTGCCTTTTTAGCGGGAAATGCCAGAAATAGACAGAAAGGCTATAAGACTACCACACTATATCGGCCGGTCATGCATAAGCCTCATATTCTCATGTTTTTGCCCTCATGACCGCTTGGCCGTTCCACTTTGGTCCGCAGCTGCTGCAATGACAGTGGCCTGCAGTTTAATTAGTCACTTCAGCACAAATGCAGAATAAGACTAATAAAACGAGCTCTCTAGGCCTGCAGCAGTGCATAAGTCTTCCCCCCCGCCTCACCCGGCTGTAAATCAGGCAAAAGTCCTCTTTATTTCCCAATAAATCCCACTCGTATCCCACCGCCTGCTTAACATGAGCATGGTTTGTAAAGCCTACCATGTGGCGTTTAACGCAGTCCCGTTTGGACCCGTGGTTCACAAGTCCAGAATACACATTATGAAATGGCAGGTTGGGTCAGGAGGTCACATCTTAAAGGAACAGTTCACCCAAAAATGAAAATTTGCTGAAAATGTACTCACCCTCAGGCCATCCAAGATGTAAATGAGTTTGTTTGTTCTCAGGAATGGATTTAGAGAAATTTGGCATTACATCACTTGCTCGCCAATGGATCCTCTGCAGTGAATGGGTGCCGTCAGAATAAGAGTCTGGTAATCTGTTCTGATGAAGAAACAAACTCATCTACATCTTGGAATCTGAAATTTTTTTTTTTTTTCAGAAATATTTTGTTTAAATATGCAAATGAGGCATCTAATTAAATATGCACTAATTTCCAGAACAGAAATCTGAATATCGAATAAAGCCAGGTTTAAAATTGTTGTTTCATTTTGTTTACATACTAGAGTTAAAGGTGTTTGCAGAGGGGTTTTTTGATATCTTTTCACCCTGTTTTTAGGAATAAAATGTTGTATAAAATCAGGAAAATTATATATAAACAAACCCTTAAGTCAAAACCTTCAGAATATAAATGGGAATAAACCTGTAATGTTCGGTGTATATAAGTGCTACTGAAGTGGAGATTTCTGAAAAAAATCATTTTGAGCAAATGGCCTTTAAAGATATGTAACGTAACTGAAATCTACAAATGCAACAATACAGAAAATATATTTGCATGTTTTCTTCCCACTAGTCTGAATGAACGTATTATGAAAAGCCGAATAGCCTCAAATCTCAAAATTGACCAATGCCTGAAAAAATAATGTTTTTGCCTGTAATGTCTTGCTTAAATGCTAACATGAGCTTTCCATAACACCTGTGCATTATAGTCACCGAAAATTGCATTCACCCCAAAATTTCCTCTCGCAGGTTAAGATATCCGTGCCTCTGGACAGCTAATTTATCTGCTGGTGTCAAGCAGGAGGCAGGAGGGGCGGAACCGGGCCGGCGGAGAGCGGGAGGGGGTGGCACTGCGGAGAGAATGGAATGTGACAGTGCTCTTCTCCGCTGTGTTCATTCCTAGTCTCATGCTAATTAGAACTGGGAACAGGCTGCCAGATCCATGAGAGGTGCCTCTGGTGCAACATGATGCAATGCAGGGCTTCCCTGTGCTATATCAATGCAGAAACCTCTGTGGCTCATATCAAAGCAGCATCTTAGTAGACTGTGTCATCCTGCTGAGCTGGATCTGTTGGTTTGCTGCAGGCAGAAACAGGTTTATCAAAAGATCTTGTTTTCACGCCGTTGTCAGCATTGACATGTATTCAGTCATTTAATGTTCTAGGTAGGCTAATTAGATAGAACCATACATGTTCTTATTAAATTCAAAGAAATGCTGGTTGTGGATCAGATGCGGTTTGATGAAAAACTGTAGGTCGGTCACTGAAGCTTTAGCTTGTGTTGATTCTGAAAATGGAAAAGGGCAGCTTCTATTGCTCTTATGCCTGATGAAAGGCTATTGATTACAAAACTGAATGAGTAATATTGAGGGGAATATAGTCTGGGCTCTGTTGAGGCACTTTCAGTCCTTGCTCTCAGGTCTACATTCTTTCTTGTGGTTTGGTTGCTAGGCACTTCATCAGGAAACTTAATGTGCAATTAGAATGTGTGCAGGGTTTATTTTCTGTCTGTTCTCTTACAAAAAAAAGCATGTCTTCAACCATATGAGCCACTGCACCAAAAGCTAAGATAAAGTTAATTTGCTACATAAATGGAGAAATGCACCAGTAAATTGTCTACATAAATTAAAAATAGAATGCTAAAAGCTGAAATCAGTCACTATAAATGCCTCAAGTGAATTTAGGAATCACAACATTATAATGTACAGTATCAAAAATAGATATACATTTTGAGATTTGCTAAAGATTACATTTAGAAACACTAATAACAGTTTTAAATGTGCCAATGGACCAAAACCATAATATACATTTTTTTTTTTTAAATCTCTAATATCGGCTGCTAAACAATATGGTACCAATATATTGTATATCTCTATATATGCTACTATTCAAACGTTTGTCAGTAAGATGAATCAATCAATCAATCAATTAATCAATCAATCCTGGGGGGGGGGATCAGGTTGCTGATTTGGGGGGCACCAAATCATAATTTTACAATGATTTCTGAAGGATCATGTGACACTGAAGACTGGAGTAATGAACGCTGCTTTATCATCACAGGTATAAATTGTATTTTAAAATATATTCAAATAGAAAATGTTTTTTTTAAATTATAGTAATATTTCACAATATTACAGTTTTTACTGTATTTTTGATCAAATAAATGCAGCCTTGGTGAGCAAATAAGCCAGTCCTTATAAATGCACATTGGGTGTTTTACCATAGTGATTGGTAGAACTGTTACTTGCATTCTCTCTTTTCCACACATTTTAAAGTGTAAGTATGCTACCCATGATTTATTTCATTCAAACCAGCTTAGGCTGGCAACTTTATCTCCCCAGTGTCAGTGTTGGCTCAGACAGCTGATGTTTCAGGATCAAACCAAACAAACTGTGTTTGAGTATGTGCTAGTCTGTGGTATGCTATTTACACATTTACAGGAAATGTCACAAACAAGAGTATGTGAAAACTCTCTGCCAGATTCACTGAGAGGTGTTTTAGTTGTGTTGATTTGAATTAGGATGTAAATATATATGGAAGATGGCATTAATTAATTTATTTAAAGCAGAATAAAAACATTTGGCAGGGAATCTCACACTGAATCCCCAACCTTAGTTGTGTGCCTTAGTTAGTGCCTTCATTTCTTTGCGTTTGTTTTTCTCTTTGACGCAGATTCAAGAGCAGATGGAGCGCCACAGAAAATTGATCACGCCGTCATCGGCGGCATTGTCGCTGTGTTTGTGTTCGCCATGCTTTGTCTCCTGATTGTTCTCGGACGATATTTTGCAAGACACAAAGGTAAATCAAAAGACACGATTCTGGCTTCGGCTTGATTTTGGGTTGTTTTTTTATCTCTGGAAATGACAAATGTTCCTGTTTTAAGGTACCTACTTTACTCACGAAGCCAAAGGAGCAGACGACGCCGCGGACGCCGACACTGCCATCATCAACGCAGAGGGTGGACACAACAATTCGGATGACAAGAAGGAGTACTACATTTAACTGACTAGACCTGTTTGCTTCCTGTGCTGAACAGCAAACTGTGGACTGCTGGGTTGGGAGGTAGGAGTTGTGGGATTCAATCAGGCTGGATTCACACCTGTGCAGCTGAAGAGACTGTGAGGAGAAGGTGCTGCCATCGAGACGGACGGGGTGTGGGATGGCAGAGCACGAGGAGAGCTCAATTTAGACCGCTTCACCATCCAACACCTCCTGCTGGGGCCGGTTTTGTTCAGTTTAAACATTTGCTAAGAATTTTGTGCCTTGTTCTGTTCTTACTGAAGTTCCCACTTTCATCAGGACACCCACAAGCTACTGTCTCTCGAACAGTTCAAACCCGAGGTTATTTTATTTTCGTTTCATTTTGGTTTTAATTGCCAGCACATCTTAACGCTCTCTCTCATGCCGTTCTGTCTGCAGGTCTGAAAGAAAGCCAGATTCGGTCACAGAATAATCAATTGGGTTGTTTTCATGGATTGATTCCAAGTAATTTATTTGGCAAATTGCCTGTTGCTCTCCTTAGTCCCTCAAAGAATGACTTAAAGAAGATAGAAACCACTTTTGTTGCAGTATTGTGTTGTTGCATTATTTATTAGATATACTGTATTTGATTATAATCGGCTTGTGTTGATATTAGGGCTGTCAATTGAACACATTACTTCAATGCGATTAAATATTTAAAAAATGACGTTAAGTCAATAATGCCCCTGATCCATATGTAAATTTTGTCAATGACATTACATATTTTTGTCCAATCTATTTATTTATTCAAATTATTATTATTATTATTATTAATCTTTTAATTTTTTTGAAAAAATTTATCAAAACTGCTGCATTGCTTATATTAAAAATCAGAAAAATTCAAAGTCATGTGGTGCAATCAACATGCAAAAAAAAATAATTTATAGTTTAAGTAATGTAACTCCCCAAAGATGTAATGATATTTATGAATTAATACTTTGTAATTATTATTGATGAATTAATTCATTTATTTATTTATGGATTAATAATTAAAATTTTACCATTTTACTTTTGTCAAGATTTGTTTTTCAAAGCTGAACTACTCATATACGTGACATGGTGCCTTAAAACGTGGTGCTCATGGCGTGAGGTGGCAAAAAGATTTTGCATTTCAACAAAACATCACAGACTGAATACAATGACAAATCCTGTGTTATCGGAAAGGCAGACAGCCTCCAAAATCATTTACTGTGGACTGTAGGGTGATTGACTTAGAGGCCGTCCACACAGAGATGCGTTTAGCTGTATACGTAAAATATTTTGTATCATATCGGTGTTTCATCCAGACGGATCCAGCGTTTTGGGAGCCTGAAACCACTATTTTTTTAAACTGGGTCCCAGAGTGGATAAATCTGAAAATGACACCTTTGCATTTTCGTGTGTACAGCCAATCCGTATATACAAACGTTTGTATACAGCAAACGCAAGGTTTATGTGCATGCTCCAAGTCTTCTTCTCCATTTTTAGTGTATCTCTGTGGCAGAATTACAGCACCACATACTGGTCTGGCATGTATACTACAACATTTTGAGTCCATTTTAGTGGTTTCGTGTGTACGCAAATATTTCTTGAGACGATGCCGTGTTTAGGGATTTTATTAGAACGAAAAAAAAAAGATCGGATAGGGAAAGCTCTTGCTTCGTGTGGATGTGGCCTTATATTCAATGATAAGGAAATTTAACAAACAGTATAGTGTCCTCCAATGCCTAATTTGAATTAATTTGATTAATTCATCAGCATATGTTGTAGTTGGTTTGTTTAAAACTGTTAAACGATTGACAGCCCTAATTGTTCCTTAGATATACTGTATGTGATTATAATCGGCTTGTGTTGATATTCATTCCGGCTTGTATCATATTATCTATTTACCAGCTTCACTCACAGACTAATTTATTGTAATTATGCCCAAGCATTAAAAATGAATGCCAAAGCAAAGAGGAGCAGATCGGCTCCTGGCTCAGCTGTACAGGAAGGCCGTCACAAAGATGTCCCCTCCTACGAAACACAACATAGCTATCAGAGTGTAAAATAGCTTTCATTTTTAGCTTGTTCTCATTCAGTAGGCTCAGTATGAGGTCGAGGTCAGTGAGTTTCTCCGAATATTGTTAGTGCTTCTGTGCGCTTCTCATAGTAACATAAAAAAAAATGTTGTACTAAATGAAATAGATGGAGCCTGTATGTTGTAAGCCATACTCACAGTTGTGCCCTCCAACATGTTTCAGTTAGCAGATCTTATTCTCAATTCCTTCAGTCCAGCTCATGTGTAGATGCCAGATTGAATGTAATAACTCTACAATAATGCAATAGTTTATAAAAGTGAGTCCTGAATGTTCTGTTTATCTCATCAAACATGCTTTATGTTCAGGTGATGTATACAAGGGACAATTTTCACAGGGACATGTGGTATTATGTTTCCTCTCTCTTAAATGTATTATAAATGTATAGAGCGTGACATTATTACATTATTGTAGAGTTAGTATATAGTTGGTGAAATATTGCACTCATATCAGGCATTGTTTCATATCTTTGGCCTTCGTCCTAGACAGTTGGACAGATGCGTATTGTTTGTGATTAACTTCATGGGGGGATTTTGGAGTTATGGTGAGAGTATGGTTAACATTGTAAAATCCTTGTGACAAAATTGTTTGGTCATAGCGTTTACATGAATTTGTGTATTATCAAGTGTTATTTTTTTGTTTGTTTTTCTTAGTGTTATTCCTGATGTTATCTGACAGGTGAGCATTATTTAGATTTGAAAACGCTATTAAATTATGGTATATTCATGCGAGGCTCTTGTAGCTAATGCCACTCTTTATACTTGGTTATACGGAAAGAAACTTTCCTTTTGATTGTCACTGTATGTTGTACAGAATTTTGTGCTTTTATACAGCAGCAGATTTATGTAAACATATCATGTTCTGAATGCCTACAATACTAAACTGATTGAGAATGTAGTAAATGAAAGTTAAATTATTCCCCCTAAAAAAAAAACTTTGACCCAAAGTTCATACACTACTTTTCAAAAGTTGGGGGTCAAAAAGATTGCTATTTCTTTTCTTTTTCTTTCTTTTTTTTAATAGTACTATTATTACACAAAGCTGCATTAAATTGTGACAGTAATTGCATTAAAGATGCATTAAATTGTGCTCAAAAGTGACATTTATATAAGACATTTATAATGTTAGATAAAAATATATATTTCAAATAAATGCTATTCTTTTCAAGTCTATTGAAAAATGAAAAATATTTATCATGGTTTCCACAGAAATGTTAAGCATCACATCTCTTTTCAGTATTGATAATAATAAGAAATGTTTCTTAAACATCAAATCAGCATATTAGAAAGATTTCTGAAGGAACGTGACACTGAAGACTGCTAACAATTCAGTTTTGCCATCATAGGAATAAATTAATTATTTAATTCTAATAAATGCAGCTTTGGTGAACATAAGAGACTTATTTCAAAAACATTAAAATCTTACCAACCCCAAACTTCTGAACTGTATGTACATAAAAAAAAAAGATCAATATGTGCACCCAATTGACATTCCAAGCATGTGAATTAAAAAATGTCATTTATAAATAAATGTATACTATATGATTTCACTCAATTATCATACTGTAATTGTAATGGCATTAAGCTATTTCCAACTATCACATGTTAAATAAGGAGTGAGGGCTACAAAGAGTCATAACATGGTTAGAGATTCCACAGCGGATCCACCAGCCTACATCCAGATCACTCCTTTCCTTTCTTTTCTAATGTTTACTTTAATATTTACAAGTGAAATGGTAAGTGATCTAAAACTGCCTAAACCTGAAGAAAAAACATGCACACACAAACATACCTTCAGTGTAGGTTTGATTCTGCCCTGTCTCAGGTCTGTCCATGAATTCATTTTTTGCATCTCAGGTAGAATGCAAAAGTGACGCCCCATATCTGAAAGAAAAGACTTTAAGTTATTATCAAAAATCATGCAGAATGGAGCATGTTCGACATGTTTTATCTGTACTTCAGATGCTGTGCACTGTGTAAATGTTCATATTACTTTGTATAGATAGGTCACAGCAAGCAGATAATAGGTTTATTTAAAGAAAATAAATCTAAGACATGAATCTTAGTGCGTACATTTACAATGCATTTTCCATTTTTACTGGACCACCAGAGCCATTCTTCATTGTTTCCATAGGTTTTATGTCAGATATTTTGTCTCATCTCTGTAGTTTGTATTCCTGTGTAATTAAAGCTATTTACATGTTCCCGATTACACTTTGTATTTGACCATGAAAATACATTTTTACAGAAATGGAGCAGTACTGTCTTAATAAAAAGAGGTATTAATGTTCAAAAAGCAGTTTAATTGTGTCTTATACGTTTACTGAAACTGATATCCTTCATGAAGTGTCCAATTAGCGGTTCGCGGATGCGCTATACACCACTTTATATAGAAGCATACGATGTCTGACTAATTGCTAAAATAGTCTCATTTGTCATACTGAGGATGAATTACCTGATAGCACATTTCATCAAGATTCGTGGTTTGGCAATGCTGTAAACATATGTTGTGAAATCCTGAGCCAAACCTAATTACAATAAGTGAAACATGAGGAAAAACTGAGCAGAAACAGCAGCGTGTTTGTGTATAATTGAGCTTGTGTTCAGAATGAGGAGACGTGCCAGATGACTTGCACTTTTTTTCTACTTTTGGCACCTAAGAATCTTTATGACTAAGAAGAAACTATTCATCTGGTTAGTCCAATTATAATTAGTAGTGCTTGCTAAGGCAAGCAGTAATATTAATGTTGCTCATTCTCAGCATTGAAGATTTTGAACAAAATGCTAACCCTACATATTAACTATCAGAGCAACTAATCAGAACACCCTAGCAACAACCTAGAAACCACCCAGAGCTCCTAAGCAAGTACATAGCAGCATTAATTTTATACATATTATGAAGAAACATAAATGGTTCTAGTTTAAAATGTAATAATTACTGTAACTTGCGTAACATGGACACTGTCATGTGTCTGTATCAACTCCTTCCTCTTGCTTACTATGAAGAAAGTACACATTTGTGTTGACTGCATTATTTTCACATAGATCTCTTTATTAATTTTCAGTGCATTTCATAAGCATAACTGTGAACATCACTGCCTAATGAAAAGGCAAAACCACCCATGAGAAAAAGCACTGGAGTTATTTGTATACAGTCTCTCAGCTGCTGTTCATAAGTTCATGCATGAAGTTCCTCTCGAGAGGGTCATTGATTGGTTATAAATTCTTAGGAAGGGTAGGTCAGCGCAAAATACAAGTGTTATAACTTTAATGCTTTCAGTGTTGTGGTAAATATCCTCCTGGGTGAAATAAATGTGGTCTTAACAGAAGAACCACACAGTTTCCTCGTAGCTGAGCTACTACCACTTATTTATTATTTGTAAGAGCCACAGAGGTGATTTCCAGAATCATCCCATTGATTCACCTTTGTGTTAAATTAATTCTCTGTCAACAGCATCTGTTACATGCTGTCAATTACTTTTATGCATGGTTTGCGCTTTTATCCAAATTGCATCCATTTCATCCATTCTCTAGGAATCAAACCCATGACTTTAGCAATCTTAGTGCCATGTGCTACTGCTTGTACTACAGGAATTATTATCATTAACTATAGATGATAATTTCAATGTCCCACTGTTTACAAAATACACAAAAACTGTGTGCAAATTTACCAGTGTTCGCAGAATTTTCATTGACAAAATCCAGTCA